AACGCGAAACCATTGGAAACTCGGCCAGGGCAATATACCTTAACTAAATTAAGACAATATAACTTTTTCGGGTCTATTATTAAAACTAAATCCATAATTCATATTGTAAATGCGCATTTAATAGTTTTAACATAAGTACAATATACTAACGTGACTAGCTAAATTTCTTTTTATATAAAACTCGATGTAAATCTAGTCGACTGTCATAATCGTAATATTTATATTTTTTATGTAAAAATATTTATATTAGTACGTTACTTTATAAGGGACTTTTGAATAGAAATTGTTATTATTATATGGTAAATCTTCATTATATACACTTCATTAGATATTCAATATATACTATAAAAATGCCTCATAGCGGCTCATGAAAGAAAGCAAAATAATCAAAAACAAGCACTTTTGTATGTATAAATAATATATATATAGTAAGAGCCACATAGGACTTAATATATATAACAGAATATTTATATTCCTATATATTGATACACTGATATGCTGATGCTATGTGCATTGTGCAATATAGCTAGCCTATGTAGAAAACTTGAACTGTTCTTATTTAAAAGTCTCTTAACAAGTGGAATATGTTTTCAAATAAAAAATGTTGTATATTATAATTAATATTCACTTTCTATGCTCCTTAGAATAAATTAAGACTATCAAAAAATTGTATTTTGTCCCAAAATGTTTTAGTTACATTTTATACTAATTTATATATATATAGGTATTATACGTAGTAAGAAAATAAGAAGTTATCAATCCATGTATTATAATAATAAAATATTGTATATAGACAATTAAATTGGTGTGTAAATTTTGGTATATTATTATATGATATAATAAATATTTATTACTAATGTTACAGAAAATGAAGTACATTTTTTAGATGTGTTTTATTATTTTAATTTTTTTTTTTTTTTTGTAAAATTCGTCTTCCGTTTTGTGCAATTTCTGTGACAAGTAAATTCAGATTTTTGTAATGTAATTGTAGATTTATAAGAATTAAAATAAGACGTAAAGGTTACCACAAGACACTGCCATAAATATCTGAATAATTTATCAAAAATAACAATTATGAATATGAATATTACTATGGAAATAAAATAAACAATTGTACACTTATTTTGTTGTTTTATTTTTTACTTCTCTGCCTATTAGGGGGCGTCCATAAATTACACGAGGTTTTTTTTTGTCTGTCCCTCCCTCCCCCCTTGGTGAGATTTCGTAAGATTTTATTCAACACCCTGCCCCATGCCCCAATCTCACCTGAGATTTTTCATAATGTTGGTTTTTTACGTAAACGCTTTGGTTTATTGCAAAAAGAAAAAAAATCCATGTGCATGTACAATTAAATCTTAACCATGTACAATCTGGAATAAAATGAACTAAGAAGTCGGTAAAAATAGTATATTTTTTTTGTTTCTTTAGTATAATTTATGGACGCCCCCTTATAACTGACGTGGTGATAGCTACTTTCTTATAGCGCAGAGCTGGGCCCACATGATTAAAATAATACGCACAAAACTCCTTTTTTACTTTATTATGCATTATGATTTTTCTTCTTTGGCAATCGAGAGCATTATGAATTATTCTCCCATGAACCCACGACGCAACGAGGTATAATCATAATGGCAAAACAAATTGCACAAAGCCATAACTAATAGTGTTTAAAGCAAAGGAGTTATCGTCGCAATGAACTACTTTTCGCCAGTTATATTATTATTATAGTAGAGATTTGAAATTAAAATCTAATACCTTTAAAAATCCTTATTAGAAGCTATTTTAACTTCACATATAAAGTATATACATAGTAACTTTACATATAAAGTTAATATAGCTTAGTAGGAAGAGCGGCCGACTGCTTCGCAAGACATAGGTACGAAGAACCTCGGTCCGAATGTTTCCTTTATTTTTTCTGTTTTCTAGTTAACCTTTCTTGTGAAAATAATAAATAGGTAGATGTATTTATCATTTTTGTTCTTCTTTACAATTTTTTTTTATTATTTCCTAAAAATAGTATTATGCATTGGGACCGAAATACCGAGCAAAGCTCGGTCATCCAGGTCCTACTGTTTACTGGACACTGTCGATCCTATCTGAGACCTTTTAGTTTTAATTCCTGCGCTTTTGATCACCATGAATTGATCGTGGACCCAAACAGACAGGTGAGCTAATATAAGAGGCTAACGCCCGAACACTGAAAGGCTACTCAAATTTAACTTTTACTTAAATATCGTGCTATCTCTGTCATTTTACAAAGAATTTGTGGTGACAGAACTATACTTAAGCGCAACTTAAATTTGAGTGGCGATTATGGATTTTTTTTTGAGGGCGGAAAATAATTGAATTACTTTTCTCGCCTGGGTGAGGCGGCAGGGAATGTCAGACTCTTACTAACTAGAAACCACCCCGTTCCTACGCCTACACTTCGAGCCGGAGACCCGGTAATCCATTAAGTCTTCCGCGGCTCCGTATCGGCATTAGCCCTATTGGGCTCCATCCGTGGTGGTCTGATGGCTCCTTGAGGCGCGCCTGGAACGTGACGCGCCGTAGGCGTTTATGGATTTGAACATCATTCTCGATTTACATGTACCTACCATTAACTTTTTATATGTTGTGTTCCATTTATAAATATTTACAAGTTTCTTATATTAAGGGATGAATGAAGTTATAGCCACATATAATTGTTTTAAAAACTACGTTTAAAAAAACCGAAGTCTGTTGATTAATATACTAAAACCTTCCCGTAAGTGTAACACTTTTCTGAAAACCTCATCAAAATCGGTTCAGCCAATAACAAACATACATAATATCATACTGAGAACCTCTTCTTTGATTCTTTGAAGTCGGTTAATAAGTATAAGTACAACATACTAAGGGAGGATTTTTTTATTCAACAAATAATTTTTATTCGTAGAATAAAATTGACGTCTGCCATTAATTTTGTGAAAATGACTAGGTAAATTACTCCTACGATGAAGTTAACTGGCGTTGGGAAAATCGGCAATTCCTCGTAACAAAATATACATAACATAACATCAAGCCTTTCATCCTCGAAGGACTAGGCAGAGATGCAAATTATGCCACTGTACAATGTAACACCCACTTTTCAGTATTTTTATATTATGAGTCCCATGTAATAGGGGGTGAGCTCTGGCACAATTCCAGATTTTGTGCTACTACTGAGAATTTTTAAAAAACCTAATATAACTTTGTCTGACCCGGGAATCGAACCCCCTGCCCGGCAGTCGCACTTGCGACCACTCGGCCAACGATACAGTCACCCTTAACTTCTAGTCTTTCGATATACGAGACACAATAGAAGACACATTGCCTCGCTGAGATCTTGATTCCGACACTTCACAGGTTAAAGAAAATGAAACATCAATTTCATAACACAACTTTTATTATCATGTAATAGGTACACAAAATACAAAACTAAATTATTTCTATTCGATATAATTTCGCTTTATTCTATAACTAAATATATAATTATATAATATATATTATAGCCTGACCTATTTATACAATTCTATTATATTATTATATTTTTTAATAATGCTAATCCTTTATATGCGATATTTTTGTAACATAACAATATTTTTAGTTATCGACCAGATATATTGACTTATTGCCCAAAAGGGTTTTTAATTTTGTACTCACCAGATGGCGCTGGTGAGTAAAAGGTCCTTTTAGCCCAAATATCAAAACACTGAAGTCATTAGAATTTTTTTAAGTATCTTAAGTATCTGTGTTATATGACAACTTAATTTTTATTCATAAATTGACTAGTTTTAGATATTCATACAATCATATATAAAACAATAGGTATATGGATAGCTATAATAGACGACAAACAGCGATTTTAGTGGCAGCAACATCCAATCCAATTGGACAATAAAGTTTAAAGACTTTTCCTGAAAATCAATATTTAATGTTTAACTTAAAAAAGTAATTCAGAAAAGAATTAACTAAAAATCGCGGGTTACTCACGTGAATATACTGAGAAAAAGCTTTACTAGTTTGGAACCACAGAGGGGTTCTTCCTCATGAGCAGCGTGCGCGGTCGCGGCGATGTCGCGCAGCCTACAGCTACAGCTTTTCTCAGTATATTCACGTGAGTAACGCGAGATTTTTAGTTAATTTAGTATGTCTCACGATAATTATTATAAAAACTTAGAAAAGTATGTTAATCAACGAACAAATAAACCTCTAAAGTCCAAACACTCAAACGTCACTAAATTTTAAGTCGCGCTTTAATATATTCACTACAAATCATTTGTTATCAAGTACAACTTAAAATTTAGTAACCTTTGAGTATTCTGGCTATTTTCAGTGTTCCTACTTCTTCTTTATTTTCATTGCAACTACAATACAATCAGTTTTAAAGATTTTTTATTTATTTGTGTAATAAAAATGAACTGTACCTTTGTAGATAATCAAATTCAGTTTTTCTTTTAATCAACAGTTTTTTATTAAATACTGAATCAGCAAACAACAAGGCATTAACTTAACTCCACATATTATATAAAGAATTTTTCGGAAAAAAACCGTCTTTATCAAAGTTTTGGATATTACCCCTTACCCATATATTTAGGGGGTATACTTTCCATATACAGACCTACATTTAATATTATATATGATATATATTTTGTTAGGTATTTATACAAGGTGTAGTTTTGAAGCCGTGTCATTTCTCGGAGGCATGTCACAGAAGTCATAAAGGTTCAATGTAAGCGAAAATTTCGGGCCAATAGTTAAAAATACGGCTATAATAAATCGTTTAAGTTCGACAGTATTTCAGAAAAAGCGACAACAATTCTTCTTATTGGAGTTTTATGGAATTAGGAATAATATCAATTAAGTGTTTGAGTTTGTGTGTGTTAAGCGGCGTTATAAAGCTAGTTACAAGACGGCGGCGTATAGTTCGCACTTACGGATTTCCGTAATTTACAGAAAAATGAAAAATATTTACCTACAATATTTTTTATTGATTGGAACTCAGAATCGATAGCCGAGTTACCTCCTAGAAAATGACGCGGCTTTAAAACAACACCTTGTATATATGCGTAAAACTAAAGGGTTTAACAAATATTGGGGTGTTTTGCTCAGTACAAATTTTATAGAGCACCTTTATATGCTACATCTACAGTTACATACCCTGTGTGAACAATATATTATTATTATTTTCTTATTTTATATAAAAATGACTACTTTATATATAAGTCTAGATATTGTACTGTCAACGTCCATTTCACATTTTATATTCCTGTAACAACGAATATAAACTTATTTGATAAATTTGGACATTTTTATGGCACAGAGCAGACCATCATAGCGGGGGTTTCGGGATTGCACTTCATACCCACCCATTATAAGTGTGGGAGAGCCATGCTTCGGCACGAATGGGCCGGCTCGACCGAAGTGATACCACAGCCTCACAGAAAACCGACGTGAAGCAACGCTTGCGTTGTGTTTCGTCGTGTGAGTGAGGTTACCGGAGGCCCAATTACCCCCCAAACTCCTAATTCCCTAAAAGCCGGTAACGCACTTGTAACGCATCTGGTGTTCCAGGTGTCCATGGGCGACGTCGATTGCTTACCATTAGGTGATCCGTCTGCTCGTTTACCGGCTTATTTAACAAAAGGAGCCGGCCAATGAAACATGGAGCCCATACCAACTTTTCTAAGTACTGAGGTGCCCTGGATCTTGTACATGATTTGTGTGTGTGTGTGTGTGTGTGTGTGTGTGCGTGTGTGCGTGTTTGTGTGTGTGTGTGTGATATTATTTTAAGTTGGTCATGGCTTCGGTTCGTAAAACTATGGTGAATGTAGTTACTCACACAATCAGTTGATGGTGGCGGAGTGGTCGAAGTCCCCCTTGTCGAGGTGTCGCTGCGCTGCCTTCGTCGGCTCGTAGATCATCATGGAGACACGCTCCGGACTTGTCTTGTTACGTTGCATGTCTGGGACAATATGACTACAAGGTGAATTGGAATAAAACCTAGCAGGTGTTAGCTGCAGCTGTAAAACTGAAAAAACAATTATGCTTAATCTTCCAGAACAGAGAATATATTCTTCTTGTGAAATCTTCTTGGACAATTATGTAAGGTCCATAGATCTATCTACACCCGAAACTTCTAGACCGATCCATTTATAAAATCTATAAACCAAAGACAGAAATCACAGAAAACACGAAAGATTTTAGACAGGAACGCCAAACACCTATTCTAGGGCTCCAGGTTAATTACAACCCGGAGCAGACAACTCTATCAAGCTGTAGTAGACCTTAACCTCTTTGTTGTTAGTTTATTCTCCGTACCTCAGTTTTCGCAGATTTTCCACTTAAACCCTAAGGTTGACTGGTAGAGAATGCCATATGGCATTAAGTTCGCCTTATGTACCATAAAAAAATTATGTACATTAAAGAATAAATAAATAAATAAATAAAATTGTATATAAACCGGCGAACCCACCCACACTGTATATACACCAACATCATGATAGTGAAATAGAAAAATACTTGAGCTCACCTACACAAATGTGTTCACCTCTAAAACATATCACACCGAAAGAACTGAGACAGAAAATTAGAAAACTTCAAGAAAGAAAGTGCCCGGACTACGATCAAATTGACGGTACCCTATTAAAACATCTCTCAAAAAACGAGCTCTGAACATACTTTCTATTTTAACGCATGTCTAAGGCTGCCCCACTATCCCAGCAATTGGAAAATCCCACAGGCTGTGAAGATTTTAAAACCAGGTAAACCAGCTCAAGAAGCTTCGTACAAACCGATAAGCCTCCTACCGATTATTGGAAAGTTAATGGAAAAAAGCATACTAAATAGAATGCAGGAACACCTAAGAGAAGTAATACCAAGTCACCAGTTCGGATTTAGAGAAGACTACAGGACTATCAAGCAAGTACCGGCTGGTAGACATTATTAGCAGGGCATCAGAAAACAAACAATACTACTGCAATTTTCTTGGATCTTAGTCAGGCATTCGGTAAAGTATGGCATAAAGGACTAGTCTATAAAATTAAAAAATTGCTACCACACTCGTTTTCCTTCTCCAATTCTAAAATCCTACCTAGTGGACAGGTGCTATGAAGTGAGACAAAATTCCGACTCGTCACAAATGTACGAGATCTATTCGGGTGTCCCACAGGGTAGTATCCTGAGACCACTCCTCTATCTCATTTTCACAGAAGACCTTCCCACTGTTAGCTACACCACCACAGCGAGATATGCAGATGATACCGCAGTCCTCTCAGTTCATTAAAATGTCGTCCCTCAACAAGATGACATGCATCTAGGTCGCCGTCTTACCTGGCGCAAACACATCTGGACTAAAAGAAAACAATTAGACTGACTCCGCAGCATATACTAGCTAATCGGACGCAAATTACAGCTGACAAACGTCAGTAAAATGACCATCTATAAAACTATACTGAAGCCTGAGAGGACAGACGGACATACGGCATTCAGCTCTGGAGTTCAGCTAGCAGTAGCACTAGCAATATAGAAATACTGGAAAGATTCCGAAGCAAAACTATACGAACTATGTTCACGTGACATGAATAACTGACTTGATTCCCGCAACGAAATAAATGAGAAGATATTACAAGAGGAGAAGAAAAAAACGATAGTTTCCACTTCCCTCGGTGAATTACTGAAAACTTAAACTAGCTAATCTGCTAATGCCTTGATTAATTTTTGACAGTGATTGGACACACTCTACATTGATACAACCTGATGAGCAGAATACGGTAGCAATACCTTCATTAGTAATAACAATGTATAACAGGTTCTACTTTAGGTTACTTACATCTTAGACTGAGACGCCGTTTATGCTGGCCACACAGTTCCAGCTGCCTCCTGACTAGCTGCGAGGCGGAGGCCGGTCGAGGGCTCAGCGGCAACGTGGCTGGTTGGAGGGTCACCTCCGAGTATGCTGTCTTGCTTGTGTAGTCTGGAAGGTAAATGTGCTTTTATGTGACTGCAACTTGCAATGATATGACACAAGTGGTTTACCACGATTTCCGATAAAACTACATTATAATACCAACATTGTAGTCGTACATAATAAATCTACATCTTTGGTGATTACAAGCTCAAAGCTCTCCCTTGCATCTACATCCACATCACTATATCGTGGATTAAAGATTATAATGATGATTAAAGATGGTGATGATAATTTGGAAGAAACCGCGAAAAAAGAAAACTTTTTTATCGGAGATCAAATTCAGCTTTTAGTTGCTGAACCAAAGGAGTAATTACAATTTAGATTTTTTTATGGCATAAGCCGGTAAACGATCAGACGGATCACCTGATGGTAAGCAATTGGCGCCGCCCATGGACACTCGAAACACTAGAGATGGTTACAAGTGCGATGCCGGCTTTTGGGGATTAGGAATTTGAGGTTTGTTGGGGATTGAGAAGATTGGGGAGGGAGGGGGGCAACTGGGTCTCCGGTAACCTCACTCACACACGAAAGGCAACGCAAATGTTGTTTCACGTCAGTTTTCTGTGGAGCCGTGGTGTCACTCCGGCCGAGCCAGCCCATTTGTGTCGAAGCATGGCTGTCCCACACTTTGATGATTAGTTACATATTTTACAATCTACCACACTATTGTGTTCTACAATCTTCAGAGCACCACTTCAGCAGATACTTCAGATTTCTGTCTACTGCTTACCTCTCTCATTGAGCACAATTTCACGATGCATCAGTGACAGTTCAGCATCGTTGACGAGCACCGTCTGTTTCTTCTCCGAACCGTCCCAGGTCCGATTCCGATCGCCCATGTAGATCGTCAGGTCACCATCCGGTTTCAAATCTTCGTCTTGTAGTGATGTGTTCTTGCTTGATGGTTCCACCTGAGTTTTAGAAAATATTAGTTGCGATAACTTATTTTCTTACTTTAGTTTGAGTATTTGGGGCTAATCCTAATCCCCCGATTGGGATATTAAAGACCATCAGTTCATCTACAGCGTTCCTAAGCTTTTCTTGATCAAGGACCACTTTTATATCATTCTAGATGGTAGGAACCAAAATTACCTACCACATATAACTTTTCTTCGTGTGTTTCCACATTAAGATTTTTTCCAAGGTTGTCATAAAAATATTCTCTTTTGGATTATAAGAATCAGTATATATAACTGTTGTGGTTGAGTCATTTTTTAATTTCGCGCACCACAATTATTTATGCCTTCTGGACCAGACCCCCGGTTCACTAGGAACCAGTGAGCTAAATAAAGGCATTTTAAGATCTGGACATCTTACCTTTATCTGCTTCTTGATGAATGTAGGACTGGACTGCGGTCTGTTCTGGAAATTGATGTGTTGATTCGCGCCGCTCTTATTCCTGACAATCGGAGACAGCTTCCTGAACTCACTCCTCGGCTCCAGCTCTATTCGAACAGTCTCCACCGTGGAGTTACTGGCTCTTCCAAAAAGCGGGGACAATTTCGGCTTGGCAACACTAGTCGCTTCCGATTCTTCGACACTCTCAATCGTTATAGTAGAATCGATACTGTCAGAGGTGTGCTTAATCGGTTTGACGACTATCACGCCTTGTACTCCATCATTGTCGATTTTAGTCGATTTGTTTATGTCATAATTGGGGTTTTCAAAGCCAGTTTGTGTGGCTATGTCATCACTTTCAGCCGTGAAAGTCTGTGATGTCGTGTTCGAAGCTTTGTTCAGCATCCGTTTGCGTCGTTCTAGATCTGCGTGTATGTCCGTCTGTACGCGCAAATTTATATCTCCGTAACGTCGTACTATGTAGTTTAGCAGCCATTGATAGCCTTTACGTAATCCTGGATCTATTTTCGGTTTTTTATTGTTTGGGTGTTCTGTGAAAGCGCTGTAGGATTCGACTAGAGTTGGACATCTGTACCTGCAAGACACATGAAATATTTATGTAGAGTGAAATACTACGAGCCCTAGCGTGTAAGGTTTTACACGCTGCATTTTTACGGTGTTTTTGCATTAGATTTGTACAAACTATTTGTTTGAACTTTTACGATAAACTGTTTAAAAGATAAGGAAGAAAATTAATTGGACACTATTCAATTACATTAGTATAATTATGTTAAAAACAAACTTACTTATTAACAAGAGGTTCGATGTTCAGTTTGTCCACCACATCGATATCGTCCAAGGCCCCGGTTTTGTCCTGTTTATTCGCTAGAACTAGCACTGGTTTGCCTGATCAGGAGACAAAAAATATTAACAAAAAATTATGAAAGCCATGTTTGCAGACAAACAATCGTTGATCAAGTTGACCGCCTGCGCGACTGCTTAGCATAAGGTCTCGAGTTGGGTCTTACTATTAATGAGTTGTTTTAGATTTTGCAGGGTTAAGGTTTGTTTTCTAGGTGTACGATAGACCATCAATATATGAGATACGATCCTAAAGTCCTTCAACTTAAATTAACAAAGAAGATGTATAGATGCACGCAAGTTGGATTTTTGCTACAGAAGGAGGTACCTACCTAATGACCAATTCAGAAATATAAGATCAGAATATTAAAGACCTACTCCATGTCCAAATCCGCCTCTCAGATCTCCCATTAGTACCTACATTTACTTCGCCCGAAACAACTAGGCTAATCTGTAACGGACAATTCGAACGAACTGAGCTCGATCGCATTCTCGCCCGTCATTGGTCAAGATTATTCTCACAACCAATGACATGGCGGCCGCGATCGAGTTCATTTCGATTTTTCGGATTGAAAGTTGTTTAAAACCTTTATTTCACACGCTAAAAAACAAGTAACATGTACAGATGTGTTATTCTATTTAGTAGGTACTGATGGATACATATTCATGTCCTAAGTCTGTGGTGAAATGGGACCAGTTCAGCATGTGCAAGACAGGGCCTTGCACTGGTGCGGTAGAATACCAATTCTACTGGCCTTTTAAATGACTTTCGAATAAGCCACCAATTAGACATCAGCAATTTAGATTTAAATTGAGTTGAGTTGCAGAATAGCAAATAGAATAGAATAAATAGCAATAATCGACCCTTACACCTCTTGCTCGCCACTCTATGAACACGGTAGTGACTAGTGACATAATGAGTTGTTAGAAAACCACATTTTACAAAGAAACAAGCTTTCATAGGTCAAGGCCTGGCATAAGGTTGACTGTTTAACTGTTAATAGCTGTATCAAATAAAAATCTTACGTGTTAATGTAAGCTAAACCTTCGATTCATTATGAATTTCAGTCACGCGCTCTTTGATAAACCTAAATTTAAGACTACGGCCTGTAAAGACCATAGAGGAGCGGACAATTTTTTTACTGGAATCACATGTGACAATGTCTAAGAAGTTATCTTTCATGTTAAAAAAACATACTTGTCTGATAATTTTCATCATTTTTTTTCATTTTTCAGTTTTTGAGGTCCTATATGTGCCATTAAAATATTTATTAATTATTTTTAAGCGTTTGTTAAACGTAATATCTGTTGTGATCAATGACATGCCCAAAATAGTATGTTGGGTGCCATCGATGGCACGCATACCAATAGTTCGCCATCCCTGATCTAACTAAATGGAGATTGCCTTTCCACACCCCTATTTATTCAAAACAGTGACGTCACTCAACAAAACTCACTGATTGTCTTCAAAATAAATAATATTCATTACAATAATTGTACACCTGCCAATAGACTCATGGGGTCGTTCTCAAAAAAGTGGCTCAGATCGAATTAATTTGTCAATTTCAAAAAATATTTAAAATGTCGAGTTTTTTTATATAAATCTATTGGCAGTGTTTTACTGAAACAGAATTAATGAAAGGGAAGCAGATTAACTGGAAATTGAGTGAAATAGAGCCTTCCAAAAAAGTGACCTCACAGGTTAAAGAGGTTTTGTACAGGTTATTGAGAAAACGATATCAGGTTAAATAGAAATAGACAGGCTACAGAAAAAAGCAATGCAATTATGCAAAATCTGCGTTTATTTTATGACATAAACTAACAAAAATAACGGTTTTAATAATAATAATAATAATCACAACTTCCTGACGTGAATTAAACATTAATTTTAAACATTTACGGATACAGACACAAATAGAATAGCTGTGCTATATTTTCATAATCTAAAGTAAAATTTAATCAGTCTAAAACAATTAGCAATTTTATTATTATTATAAAAAAAACATAAACATTATGATAAACATGTCTTTTGTTTTTCAACTAGAACAAACTAGGTAAATTTTCTCATAACTAAATTACAGTGAACCTGGTTAAGTGAGACATCAAGGGACCTGCAATGTCGTTTTACTTATAGAGGTATTCCACTTACCCAGTGTCTCAGATATACAGGTATAAATAAATATCTGTCTCATTTACAGAGAGTTCCATTAATAGAGGTGGACTTGGAAATATGTGGACATGGGGAATTTGTGGGTAGAATAAAAATGATTAAACAAACAATATTATCTTAGTTACAGAGGTTTATACATATAAAATTTACTCGCTGTCTCAGTTATAGAGGTAACTATGATGATAAATCGAAAGAACAAATCCCAGATATAAAGGTTTACCTCGTCCCACTAACACAGGTAATTCAGTGCCAAAGTGTTGGGACCTCAGCATGAGTTCCACTTATTGAGGTTTCGCACTTATCCAGGTCCCACTTAACCAAGTTTCACTGTATATGCCAATCAGTCTTAAACCACCTCTCAATGGTAATTCTAAAAGTACTAAGTGCTTATAATTTCTTCTTATGACTTAAAATTTGTCAGTAAAATGTCTGCAATAAATGAACGGGGCGATTGCAGTTCTGAACAACCATTTCTATGAGACCGATTCTGTAACGGAGATAAAAACGTCATAATTGTGATCTCCATACATTTAAGTCAACAAAAATGTGTCGAGAACTTAATCGCTTTTTCACAAGCTCAGAGTTGGTCCCAATGAAACAGTTGTTCAGATTGATGAGTGCAATGATTCCTTCTATTTGTTACAGATATTTTTGAACACCTTATGTAAACAATCATAAATAAAATAGAAAATAGTTAATAGTTAAAAAATAGAGCAGTCCGAATCATTAACATATCTATAATATTCTTAAAAGAATTCAACGGGAACACAGTCACTTTCGCAGGCCCTTCATCTATTATCTTATCTAATGTACTTCTTTGGAGTACTTCCGGAGGTAATTTCATTTCAGACAAAACTGAAAACGATGTCGATATATAAAGAATACTTACTAATTCTGGTGGAATTAGATTATCTGCTACATTCCTACTAGAGGTAACAATGCTATCTTCATCAGAGTCAAAACAATTGCCTAAAGTTCGAGATGAAGTTATAGCAGACGGTCTTTTTCTTGGCCATCTGGGTAGGGTATTGCTGGTGAGATAACTTCCTCTGTAATAACTCGGTGAAAACCCAGATGTATAAAGTGTTTACAGAATTCGACGTCAGTTAAACAGGTTTCTTTTGTACGACTAAGCTGTCTTAACACTACCATTTCTGGCTTTGCATTACTCCATAGAATTTGGTTAATTTTCTGTGTTCCTTTAAATGGTAGTAAAGTATTTGGTAAAGGCAAAACTTTTTCAAAAAGTCTAAAAAATTGTGTAAAGTTTCGAGATCCTGCTCATCATTTCAATGGCTCACACTTAAATCAGCAGGACGTTTTAATACGGCCCCAACTCCATCTGGAGCTCCTTTACTGTGAACAGATTCAGAGTAGATCCATTTTAAAGCTGTGATACCAAAGTATATTTTTATAAATTTTATAGTAACTATGTCGACGACTATGTATTTCGATATTGAGTAAGCGCATTTATAATTTTCCAAGTAATCGACGTGAATAACAGCTTCGTCATATTTTAACCGTTCTTTAGACCTAGAATTCGATCTAGTCATTCTTCTACTTTGATAAAAGCTTCGCGGAAGTTCACTATCACTATTGTTCTCTAAGATCACTAATGTATTACTAATAGCTATATTACTAATCAAAATTAAATCTTGTTTTTATGTTGATAGGTTTTAGCATCTTATCGCCCCTTTTTTCTTAACGGTTTTAATCCCTTGGTGTTAAATTATTTACAAATACTACTTTTCCTTCATTTTTTCGTTTCTATATTATTCTATATTTTTTTTTATATTTTTCCTTGTATTTTGCGTATAGTTCTGAATCATTTTTAATATTTTCATATCCCTTTTTTTCAAGTTGTCTTTTTCACGCTAAAGTATCTTCTCTCTTCTTATTTCTTGGGATTTTACCTTTGAAAGCAGGAAAAAATAGATTAAACCTTGTCTAGCTGACCTAACTAAAAAACCTAAATAGTAATAATAATTTATTATATCATTAAAAGAAAACCAAATTTATTTATTCAAAGAGTAATAAAAATTATTTTAACTCATCAATTAACTCAAATATATAACTAGTAAGGATATTAAGTGTTAATACCTAAGTAATTTATAACTGAATTTCACGAGTAAAATGAATTTGTATTAAAAAATGGGTAATGTATCTTTAACCTGTTAGCAATCTCTTTAACCTGTGCATTTTCAACAGGGTAAAGACACACAGGTTATTGAGGAAACGTAGGTTAAAATGCGATACCAACAAAACGGTTAGTTTTTTTTAAGTATCACTTATAGAATCATATACAGGCACCTATTGACACATTTTAGAATAAAACATTTCGAAGCGATTAACATACAAACAAAAATAAATAGGTCAGATAATAGACAACATACCTGTTACAAAATCCGATTGCGATGTATCGATGTATTTTCTAAGAAAACAAACACATACTGATCGCTTCTTTCTTTGACAACAGGTAGCCCGATAGTGTCGGCCCATTTCGCGCTGGGATAGCGTGTTGCTAACGTTATAGTCTGTGGGTAATGGTCAGTAGTGTGCAACACCAGGTTGTGGAGAAAAAGTCTCTGGACACAATTTGGGAATAAATATCTCAAGAACTATATGTGTTTACGTGCAGCAATCAAAATCACGTTAAAACAATCATATAACGAATTGTGTTTTATTTTATTTAAGTGCTTATTGATAGGTATTAATTTTTTATTTCACCTCAAAGTCAGACACATTGTGTTTGGACACGACAAGTTACTGAGAAAATGGCATTACAATTTTTATTTTTCTTAAATGTATTACTCTAAACTTCTCATTTTCACTTGGCCTTAATGTATAAAGTCTCTTTATGTATAATTTTGTATAG